GAGGGCAGGGTGTTGACAGAAACTTTAGAGGTTTTAGTTCCAATTCCTCTAGGAAGAGAAATGCCACCCAGTAACACCCAGGACCAGGACCTCCCAGGTACAAGGCCCTGGGCCCACCCCAGGGAGGGGACTCAAGTGAGCAGGCCACCTGCCTCTCAGAACGCTATTTCCACACCACCCAGGGGAAGAGCGAGGCAGGCAAGAGTTACCTGGTTGATGGCAATGACCGCCAGTCGGGGGATCACCACTTGGAGGACCACCTGCAGCAGCGAAGTGCCCAGGCCCGCCAGGATGGCCCAGGTGAGCGGCAGCGGCAGCATGCTGTAGGTGGCGAACAGCGTGAAGAGCACGTAGCCGATGCCATCGCCCAGGAGCCCGTACCCAAGGCCCGCGGCCAAGATCTGGGTGGTCATGGCCACCCAGGTGACCAGGCCGCTGTACTGCAGGTACGTGTGCGAAGTGGTGTCCTTCCTGACCACCACCAGGGCGCAGATGACCACCTCGATGCCCGTGAAGAAGCCCAGCAGGATGCCCTTCAGCGGGTCCATGGGCGCCGAGGCCAGGCTCAGGTGGAGAACCAGGAGGGTGAGCTTGGTCAGCACGTCCAGCACATTCATCACCACCTCGGATTTGCGCCTCTGGCCCAGGAAATAGCGCTGGTAGAGGCGCTCCAGGTCCCGTGACTTGAAGGAGTTGCGCAGGGTGGGGAAGATGACCCCTCGGTAGCTGTAGCCCCCATTGAGGAAGAAATCCGAGTTGCTCGGGGCGCAGTCCAGGTGCAGGAACCCTAGGTCACCCCCTCCCCCGCTGCCGCTGGCGCTGCCGCTCCCGCTGCGTTCAGGGAAGACTTTGGTGCCGCTCGTGCCGTGCGCTCTCTCCGAGGTGCCCAGCGAATACAGGGGGAGCGCCAAGTCGCCGGACAGCTGCGAGGCGTGGTGGTTGGGGCCTCCGCCCGCAGGGTCCGAGCCTTTGCCGGAGCCCCCGCTCCCGCCGCCGCCCCGGTGCCCGTGAAT